TTACTTCCAGAAACCAACTGATCGCCTTTACCTCCCCAGGAGACAGGACCCCTAGAGCAAACGAGTACTGACCGGCCGACGTTTCGTAGTGAGCCCTAGTCCAGTATAGGGGAAACCGACACTCCCCACTCGACGGATCAACAAAGAAAGGGAACTCGCCCTCGCCTAGTACTGGTTCAATCCAAAAGAAGGTACGCGTCCAATTCTTATAAGAGTTGGCGTACTGGGCAAATATTGATCCAATCGCATTGCCCGCCTTCAAAGAAACCCAACCAAGCTTCATCTTTTTGGATGGCGACACTTGGAAACATTAGAAGAATGATCGTACAGAGTAGGCCATATCGAAATACTTGCATATACCCTCAAAAACTCTGACAAACGCCCAAGCGTTGGGATGCAGTTGTGAAGGCGCGACCTGTAAGTGAGATAGCACCCCCATCTCGAACTCGGATAACGGAAACCTCACCTTCTGATCAGAAAAATGCGTTTTGTACACCATAAACTGCCACCGTGATTGCTGCTCCACAAGAGGCGCGTCACAAACTCGACGATCAGCGCCGACCGCGATGAGTTGCCACTTCGCCTCCATTGCGCCATTTTCAGTTATGCTAAAGCTAGGCTCTCCTTTATAGTGACTGCGTAAGATGCTCTTGTCAGAATAGCTTGAAGAAGTTGAGGCCACTACCGAGTCAACCCAATCCCGCGCCCCGAGACCATCGTCCGACTGAACAGTCGCCATAAGTTTGGAAAATCCTTGTAAGTCCTACCTAGGAGCGAAAAACACACAGTCAATCCTCTAAACTTCACTGACGCCAGGAAGACCATTGCAAAGGAAACAAGATAGTCCGACCCACCCTATCAACACCCCCGCCACCTCCAACTCCCCCCACGCCAAGCACAACGAAAAGGAAAAAAGAAGAATTAAACAGTTAACTCACCATCAGAATCCGAGGTATCTGATGAGCTTGAATAAAAATCTAAATAGCTCAGGTTAGAAGGCAACCATGCAGGAGGTATGTTATAAAGCCCTATGTCCTCAAAAATGGCGTGCCACACGCCATTCCTTGTAAGGCGACCATCCTCCGGGTGATATCTACCCAAACGGTTCTCTGTGGACTCATCATACTTACGACGATGGAAAGATTGGGGAATGGAGGGAATTAGACCATGAGAGGAGCGAAGGGCAACTGAAGAAGGGCGAGGGTGGAAATAATACTCCAAAGGACGATTTTGACGCAGGCGATTAATGTTGGATACAGGTCGAATTAACCGCCCAGTTCCAAGATCATAACGCCGTACAACGCGACGACGTGAAGTGACTTTCTGCCTCCTCGAGGCGGCAGGCGAACGCCCACCAGATCTGGAGTTTTTCTCACCAACTAAATCGTGGCGCCCTCTGCGGCGCCCACTACGGGGAAGTGAACATGACGCCTCACCAGCATACGGGAGGACAAGCCCTAAAGCTCTCTCGGGAAGGAGATTTTGAATCTCCTTTTCGCTAAAACCCAGAAGTTCGGGTACTTTCCCGTGGGGAAACCTCTCAACCCCAGGAACTAAGGGACGACTTGGGGCGCAACTAGCAAGATACTCTCGCATCGCTGGCCCCACCGCACTATTCCCAATGCCTCAAAGGCCTCGTCAAACTCCTCTTCCTTGATTTCTACTTCTAATTCAGGGAGTATGAGGCCTGGGATAGGTTCTGTAAACCTAACCATTGATACAGCAGAAAAGAAAGTAGAAGACAACCAGAAATGAGAATAGAAACGACAAGAGAAGAAGGACTATACCTGAGAATCGCAGAAAAGGAGAGAAAGAAGACCGACAATATCACACCGAACTGAGGATAGGGAACAAGGGCTTTGACCAAAGCGTAAGAGTGTAGGTTCGCGTAAGAAAGAGCTCCAACAAAGGGGTTCCCCCCCTTTTATAAAAAGGGGGAGAAGAGAGAAGTCTCACACAGACACGTGTAAAGAAAGAGAGAGGTTTCACACGGACACGTGTAAGTCCTCCTCACTTAACCGTACGATGACATGCTCAACGTGTGATGAGCGGTTAAGGAGAGGGGGCAAAATGGTCACTTCAAAGGGACAAGTCACCAGTCGCGGAGCATTAATGCGTCGAACCCTATGACGCTTGGATGCCTGCAATAAACAGTAATGATGGGATAACTCATCATTACGGCTCTTCGGAAACCGAAAAGCCTCTCTAAAGTGTCTTTAAGAGGCAGCCTTTCAGTTCCGTCACCTACCAATCCCCGTCATCAATGACCTTATTACAGCTATCACCAAAAGCAATCGCCCATGCTCAAGCGTTTCACATCGCCAAACAATGCGTCGCCAAATCCTATCTACCAAGGCGCCAACTTATGCTTATAACCAGGTTCGGGTTCGTAGCGCCACGGCGATACGAGGCTTTGTAGTCATTTCCCTCTTGAAGGACGCCCCATAGAGCGTCGGTAACTCCCTCTCGAAGGACGCATACCGCCCTGACAAGAACGACCAAAGTCTTTAACTTGGCACCATCCCACGGTTGCTACCAAGCTGGGGGGCTCCTGTTCTGGATGGCCCAAGTACTGGAGTGGCCCAATTACTCAGGCCCAACCCTCAGCTGGCCCAGTTACTCAAGCCCAACCCCCAGCCTTGTTCCGCGTCAGCCCTTAGGGCTGATGTAGACCCTCACGATCTCCAAGACTGCAGCACGTCCAAGAGATACACCAAAATGTCCCACTTCGGGACATTAACCGCTAAAGGCAGTCGCCATAAGCACTGCAAAGGAACCTGCCCCTTTGTTCAGCGCTGACATCGCCGGGTGCAGTGGTTACAGCACTGCCATTGTGGCAGCGCCAACCACGCCTAACACTGCCATCATGGGTGTGCACCCCAAGAAGGGTTGACCCCCACCTCACCAACCCGCATCATCTTCCTTATAAATAGCCCTTAGGGGGCACACCACTAGATATCTTTTATGTACTGTTGTTATGCCCATTTACTTCCAAGTCATTCTCTTGTTATTTATCTGCCATTGATATCAACTTGCTACCTTTTGAAACTATACCTTCTAGCCTGGTCTTTACCTCAGCTAGTGGTGTAATCCATATAATAACATTACCCTCAAGGGTACATAGTGGGCTCACAGAGCTGAACGGTACACATTTATTGCGCTCAATACATTTGCTCCACTACAACGTGACAAGGCAAAATCACCGACTAAATATAGCTTCTTATACTTTAAAAAGAGCTTTTATGTTCTATACGCATACAACTTTTTATGATTATCTACGACATTTAGGAACTGATAATTGTTATCCATTATCTTTCCCAACAATTGAGCTACCAATTTTCACTTCTATAATAGCATTGAGTAATAAAAATTATATAATATTAATAATTTCTATTTTGACAAATACATTTTCATATCATAATATTATATTAGAGAATTTTCTCTTAATATTTTCTTATATATCTTTGTAATTTTTTTTATATGGAAAAAATATTTCTCCTGTGACAAGATAAAATATCTCATACCACTCAAAAGCGACATCGTTTTCGAGTTTAAGAAAAAATATATATGTGTTTTGAAAATTTTACTTTTCTCTTACATCATGAATTTTATTAAAATATCCTGCATTTTCCTCCTAAATCCTAAAACGAGTCATCTTGGAGTTGCAAGAGATATTTTTATCTCCTATTACAGGAGAAATGTTAATCCATGTTTATATATACTAGTATTCAATTATGTTTTTTTAATTAATAAAAGAATTTAATTATAAAAATAACTATTTGGGGACTTAAAAGATTGTTTTTATGTGATAACATATAGGACTTTATTAATTTCATGCAATAGAAGAGAAGTCCTCTCATGCTATAGAGACAATCATGTGTGGGACCTACTCACTTATAAAAAAAAGAAAAAAAAGCAACACAGAAATCGATGTAATGTGTAGGAGAGAAAAACACTCTCTAATAACATGAGAGTATATTTTCCCTAACATATAATTATATGATAGTATAACTTTTTTTTTACACTAATAACTAATTAAGATTAAATTCTAACTCTGATAATAATCAATAATTTTTGTAATCTTGTAAATTTTAGTTTGTCACCATAAAAGACAATGATCAGGTTAAGAAAGAAAACATGTATGTTACACTAAAACTTGCTTCTGTGAATGACTGGAGAACACTTTTTCAATATTAATTTTTTAGTACAAAGAAAGCTCTTAATTATGAAAATCTGATTTAACATAAAGCGCTTTCTTAAGAATATTTAATATCAGAGAATTGTTATATTGACAAATTTTTTTTTTATAAATTAACAAAGTACATTATGTCTGACCGATCAGACTTCATTCAAGAGTATCTTACTGATCACACATAGTATAATTTGTAAGAGTTTATAAACAAAATTTTTGTAAATATAACTTTATCTTAGTATTAATGTTTAGATTACCTTATTTTACTACAAAAATAAAAATAAATAAGATGAAAACTTACACCTTGTTTGTTGTGTGGGGTTGAAACGTAGGAATCACGTATTTTTTGTTTTTCCACTTTGAAACGGCAAGGTTTCCTCTTTGTCCACCCATATTCCTCCCACAAGAAATTCCCTTTTTCAGAAACTTTCTCAACGAAAATGGTGAAATTACCCTTTTCTCATCCTTGCTCAACATTATCGTCATAAATAACATTGCAATATATATTGCACAATGAAATAAAGCTCTTACGTCTTACCCGAATGGTGTAATTAGCCAATACCATTCGGTAAATGTCATTTTACTCTTAAATTAGTAAAATGCAATTATTATATTTATCATGGCTTGGCAAAAAGTATTAAATTATTTCTTGATTTTGAATCAACAACAAGAAGCATTAAATGCGTTATTATTACTCTATTACATGAAAAAAAAAAAGTAATAAAAATAAAAACAAAAAAAGAGAGAAGAAAAATAGCGGTTGGCAGTTATATAACCATATTTTTTTGGGTTTCTGAATTTAAGAATCTATTATTCATCATCATCATCTTCATCCTTCTAGTGTTTTCAGAATGTCTTGCAAAACGACGTCGCCTAAGATCGCGATTCCTATCTGAATGCATTGAAAATGCCCAGCAAGGAATCAATTTATGTTGATTAGGAAATTTAGGTGAGTCTATTTTCTTGCATTTTGTTTTCTTGATTTATTGAATCATAAATGGTGTGTTGTTGTGAAAATTCGAGCCCTTTGTTTTTGGTTAAACTTATCTTCACATTGCTGAGCAGCTATGTTTGGAAATCGGAATATATTTTTAAATTTTTTTTTTTTGGTGAAAATTTGTTATGTACACACATAGAGCTTGGAGTGTTTGTTGTTGATTATTCAGATTTTTTTGCAGGATCGATGAGAAAACGTGTTATGTCTTTGATTATAACCGAATCTTGGAATTTCAATGGGATGTTCTTACCCGTTTAGGGTTGCTTTGGCTTCTATTTGATGTGCATGAGGTGGTATCTATTTGGGAATCACCTCGTTAAGCAGGCTGAGAGATATTTAAAAGCTATTTGATATTAATACCTTTTTTTTTTTTTTTTTTTTTTTTTTTTTTTTTTTATGTTATGATATTCTATGTTGTTTTCTATAACAAGGATACCCTTATCCTACTTTTTCTTTGCTGATGTCTTTCCTCCCCAAAAAAACAATTTTTTTTTAATTTGGTACACTACAGACATATAGTTGTTAAATGAATTTTTCAATTGCCTTTTCCCCTGAATAAATATAACTTTAATGGTGGTTATTTTTATTGGTTATTTTTATCCTTAAAATCATTAATCATTTTTAAAGATGAGCCATGTTATGATTTTTCTTTTTGGCTTTAAATTTTTTAATATCCTGCCTTCGATCTGAGTTGTTCACATAATAGGTGACTGGAGGTGGAAAGCAGAAAAGCACATACAATCTTTAAGAGACTTCTCTAGCAAAGGGTAGTGTTGCAATGTTGGCGTCTAAAGAAATTATGACATTCAAATCTTACCAGAACCAGGCTAATATGTTCGTGAAGGAATATATACTAGCAGACTCTCTGCTTCCATATACTTCTGTTATTGGTGGAATTTTTGCTTGCAAGATGGTATTTTATGTTTTAGTATGCTGTCATTCTATTTCCTCAAAGTATGCTACTTGTGAGATTTTTAGTTACCATCATTTCGTTATCTTTGTTGAAATTATAGGGATTTTGGTAGGGAAGGAAGAAAAGAGAGAATACAGACTAATAATCTGAAATTAATATTGATTTGATATGAAGGATGTGTTATGATGTGATACAAAAGACAAAGCACTTAGCTCTATTTATATTAATAGAAGATTCCTAGTCTTAATTAAATAATAAAACAAATCATTAAATACATAGATACATGGAATCCAATCTAAGAGATAATCTATGATACTCCAAATTCCTCTGACATACAATCATCTTATGAGATATTTTTCATATATTTCAACCATTTTAACTATAGCCTTGCCTGTGTTTCAGGTCTATGAACTCACTCAGCTTATTGGTACTAATTACTTTAAGATCTATTCCAGCTTCTCAAAAATCCAACGAATTGAGTGGAATAATCGGTGATGAATGTTCCCATGAATAAAAATCTCTTCTATTGTTGCTCTTGATATAAGATGTTTATGGACTTTTATTCTTTGTGCAGTGCTATATCAACTATTCATGGCATTTTCATAACAATTATGTCATTGTACTTCGTGTTTTGCTCAAATCTATTTTCTGACAACCAGTCTACCGAACCTGTTACAGTTAGAAGCTCTTCATTGTCGACATTTGCACTAGGGGTAAGAATGATCCGGATTGCTTCTTATTGTTTATCTTTTCTTATCCTTTCTGAGCTACTGCCATTACTATTCTGGTATCTGAGTCTGAGATAAACCTATTGGGCCTTTATTGTCATTTGTTATATCTTATATGGGGTTGAATAGTTTCTTATTCAAACGCAAGATCCAGAGCTTGTGATAGTAAAAGATGCATTCAGATATTTAATGTATTTGTTTTTATAAGTATCAGTTCATTTCAGGTGATTATCTTATGCATAAGTATTGGAGTACATTATGGCAAGATATTTTGTTTTTGGTCCTGGGTTTCTAGGTTAAAAATTAGTAAAGTGAAAACCAGATCTAGTCTTCTGTTTTATCCCTAAAAAAGAGAAAGAAAAGAAATTTGACTTGTGAAGTTTATGTCAAATATAGCTGATTGTAAAAGAGAAATATGCACTACCTATAAGGCAGGATCTCTTAAGATTAATGGTGGATTGTCTCTTAAATGTATGTGATTGTATTATAAACAAAAATGTCTTGTAGTTATGTTATGAACAAATGAAATGAGGAGATAGAGTAGTCTATATGACAAGCAGGCTTACATATAATTAGCATCACCTTGATCACCATTTTTTTCCCATGGAAATTTATCAATGGTGTTGAAGACTTTGATGTTTAACTTGATGGAGTAGAGCTTCAAATACTATAAAATGACAGGCTGAGAGAAGAAACAGAAGAATGACACAATGAGATGATGAAGAAATGATTTTAAGAGCTGAGCAGGGCATCTGAACATGCAAAACTAGAAAAAAAAAAGCCTGTTGCATCACTGAAACAAGGATCAAGAACAGTTTTTGTAGATAGTGTTCAGAAACTTTTCCAGAGATGTCCACTGGTTAGATTAAAGTACAACTAGTTAAGAATGGTGGCAGGAATGGTATGTTTTGATTACTTAAGTTTTTATTTATTTGGGGATTGGGACTTGCAATAGTAGATAGGCCTTCTCAAACACTTCCTGTGTTGGGGATTGGGATTGTTAACTAGTACAAAGATTGAATGAAATTCTGAATCCTCTTGTAACATTTTCTATCTGGCATTCAATGAACAAGTTCAAAGAATGCCTTTTAAGCACATGAAACCATTTCCATTGGTTGCAACTTCTGTGGTCTTTAGATGTTGTGTCTTTTGCATTCTCCTTCATGTCTATGGTGCACAGGTTATAGTTCAGGTTAATTAACGACAAATCGCATTGCTTTGTAATAGATTGGATGGTTTGGATCTAATGGAAGTTAATGATTCGTTGAGGTTATGATAACCCTTGTATAAGAAGCCTTCAAGATACCCTCCCCCCCCCCACACACACACATTTTTTTGGAGACTAGATTTAAGAGTACTGTTGATACCTCAAAGATATATCGTGTTACTAATATACAATGCTATCTTTTCCATATTCTTTTTTGCAATTGACGAAGTGTGCTAGCCACATTTCGACTTAATCGCTCTTATCATTTTCTTGGTGTCCATATCTTCTGCTAGCATTTCCTTTTTGAGTAATTTTTTCCTATTTTTTACTTGTAATGATTCAAATCAACTTTTGGAATTGTTATGACGTTCGTTGTCCTGATACATTCAACAGCCCAATATGTGGCCTGCAACACTTTCTTTTATTGGGTGAAGTCTTTATTTCTTATGTTTGATATTTATTGTGACAGGTTTCTGTTGGTTACTTCATCGCTGATTTTGCGATGATATTTTGGTTTTTTCCTTCTCTTGGTGGATATGAGTATGTAAGGATGGATATTCTCTTTATAACTTGCATAGTTTACATACACCAACTTGTCTTGTTAAGTTGAACTCTCTTATTCAAATTTTAAGGTATTTCACTTGATAGGAACCCAGCTGGAGATGATTATGGTCGGGATTTAACCTGACTTCATATTAACATTGGTTCAGGTGATTCATCATCTGTTTTCTTTAGTAGCAGTAGCATATTCGATGTTAAGTGGGGAAGGACAGCTTTACACGTACATGGTCCTGATCTCTGAGACAACTACTCCAGGGATTAATTTGAGATGGTAATCTTGCTCTTGTAGTTGCATTCTAATATGTCATGTCATGTTTTACTTTGTTAATGTGCATATTATTGGTGTTTGTGAAGGTATCTTGATGCAGCAGGAATGAAAAGGTCTAAAGCTTATCTCATCAATGGGGTAGTAATATTCATTGCTTGGCTGGTGGGTCAAATTCTTGCAATTTGGAATATTTGTCATTTTTTTTTTCCTGCAAAATCCTTCTTGTGAGATATCTTATTATGTTGAATGCATATGATTCTCATTCTTGCCTTATCGGACTTGTCAAACAAAATGGTCTATCCGCAGGTTGCCAGAATACTTCTGTTCATTTACATGTTTTACCATGTCTACTTGCACTTTGATCAGGTAATAATTATTGGCACAGTTAATTTGAAATTCGCTGTGTGGTGCTTTATAGGTAGCGGATCTTGACATTCAATTTTTGGCCTTGTAAAATTTAAAATATGTTTGCATATTGTCCTTCATGATAACTTGGCCTTCAAGATCATTTTCTAGACATCTGTTTCTCATTATCAACTAAAATTGTAATTTATGCTTATCATGTGGGGAGCAGGAGGGTTGTTGGGGTGCAAGGATCAATATTTAGTATGGTAGTGTATTGTGTCTATGGACAACATGTACATACATAAATGAGGCCAAATTGGTAATTTGGTCCAACAAATTTAGAACAATTGACACCTTATTGGACAACTATTTTTGATACAGATGCAAACTCTCTTCTTTTAACATGGTTGTATATATACTTTAATATTGTTGTATGGGAATCTAGCTATTGGCTCATTTTTTTTGTTATTTCTGGTCAGACAAAGTGTAGACGGTAAACTTAAGGATCTCATAGCGTTGTTCAATTATTCAACAGGTTGAACAGATGCACACCTTTGGGCAAATATTAGTAATTGTTGTGCCATTGGTGCTATCGGTTATGAACATGATTTGGTTTTCAAAGATTATAAAAGGCTTGAGGAAGACATTGGCAAAGAGACAGTAAATAATCTGCTTAGTATAAAACTTTTTGAAGAAAATGTATAGGTTACCACTGTCGATATCCATCTCATCTTGCGTGATGTGCACTGAGATGCAACAGTATCCATTTATGATTTAATGTATTTGGATCCCATCCCATGTGGATCTAAATAGTTCCTTTTTTTTTTTTTTTCTTTTTTTCAATTTTTGTCCACGAAAGATGAAGAAAAGAGATGGCATGGAGTGCAGAAGTGTGTGATCATACAACATGACTTTGACAAAAATTGTTATAGACAAAATTATGGTTAATAGCTACAAATTATACAAATGTCTAGGACTTGTTGGTTTTGATGCATGATCGACGGTCTTATATTGATATAAAAAAAAAAAAAAATATATATATTTATATTTCTCTTTTAGCTTACCATCTTTTATAATTATTTTTGTTATTGTTTGATCAAAAATAAATTAATGGTTACAAAATAGTATCAAATGAGAACTGTTGATTTAATTTTAATTTAATAATAACAAAAATGATTATAATGTAAGGCAAAAAAAGAGGTTGCCAATTAGTATAACCTCTTAATTTATATTTTGTTAAAGGGTTCGCTTTTTGTCATGTGACATAACTAGAGCACTTTCCTGCACACACAAATTAAGTGTGGATCCCACGCTTAAAAAAAAAAAGTCAGACCAAAATCAGGATACGACTCCGTATCCTTAAGATACGGACGTGGATCCTTGTTGCAGGAATGAACAGTGTCATTCCTGCAACATGATTCTTATATTTCCCTTTGTTAAATGCAAAATTACTTAAGCATATGAAATGCATTAACTGGAAATGTATAGAATGCCATAATGGATAAAAGAGATCCAAAGAAGTACACTTGCTTTTTTTGCATCCTCAAAGTTAGGGTTTAGCACCTTGAGAAGTATAAGGTCTACTTTCACATTTATCTTTGAGTCTATATACTAATTGTAATTCTATCTTAAGTTCCCTAGGAGACTGTTGAGCATTAAGTTGAACTCTCTTGTATTTATACTATGTACGAGTGGCTCTTTTTGACGGGGGGAAATGAGAAGACTTCAGACCTTAATGCCATTCTTGTCTGGACACCATAGGCGCTTACCACATTTCCTTATTTAAGAATAACTATCACATTTCCCTATTTAAGAATAAGGAAATCAGTTTGTCATATTGTAGAAATGACACTGTTTCTTCCTACAACAAGGATTCAGTTTCGTATTCTGAGGATCCGATTCCGGATCTGGACCCTTTTTTTTTTTTAATAGCTAACAGAGTTTTAAAACGAGGACTTGAAAGGAGGTTGGATGCAGCAAAGAGGGATTGGCCAGAGCATGTTGATTATGTATTATGGAGAAATCGAACTACTTCTCATTCAACCACCGGTGAAACTCCATTTCGCATGGTATACGGCAGTGAAGCAATGATTCCAGTTGGAATAGGTGAACCATCAAGGAGAAAGTTGTATGCGAATGAAGAAAGTAATTCTCACGCTTTACTACACAAATTAGACACAATTAGTGAAATGTGCGAGATTGCCCATATCAAAGAAGCTGCTTTGAAACAAAGAATTGCAGCGCACTATAATGCAAAAGTCATTAAGCGAAGTTTCAATGTTGGCGATTTAATCTTTCGCAGAGTAGATATTGGTAACAAGAACACGAGACAAGGAAATTTAGCAGCTAACTGGGAAGGCCTTTATCGTGTGAAAGGAAGAACTGAGAAAGGCGCGTATGTCATTGAAACGTTGTCTGGACTCACGATTCCACGAACATGGAACACAGACAAACTTAAGTTGTTTTATAGCTAAGTATTTTTTCGATTTGCCATATGTACTATGTGTTGTTGTTACTGTCACTTTGTGCAATAGAGTTTACAGGTTTGTTCTAACATTCATATTACGCTCTACATACCTCCAGTCATTACACAAAGAAAAAGGAGGGTAAAACCTTAACTAGTTAAAACCTCCATAGAAGAAGAAAAAGGAGGGTAAAACCTTAACTGGTTAAAACCTCCATTGCGAAGGAAAAAGGAAGGTAAAACTTTAATTCGTTAAAACTTTCGAGATGAAGAACAAGGAGGGTAAAACCTTAATTGGTTAAAACCTCCAATGCGAAGAAAAAAAGAAGGTAAAATCTTAACTGGTTAAAACTTCCAAGACGAAGAACAAAGAAGGTAAAACCTTAACTGGTTAAAACCTCCAATATGGGAAGACAAGAAGGTAAAACTTTAACTAGTTAAAACTTCCATCATGCAGACAAGAGGAGGGTAAAGCCTTAACTGGTTAAAGACTTTCAGCGCACACAAGATGAAGAGTTCAAGTGACGTAAAGATGTATTAAAGCACCATCCAACAGAGGACAAATCATGAGGTACGCAATGGCGCAAATAAGTACATTATTTACTGCGACACCAAAGTATAAGACATGGTGTTAAATAAAAGAAATTTATCTTCTAAGGTTGATTAACAGAGAAAATCACCCCGCGTTTTCACATATGTTATTCTTTATGCTCTTAAAAAGCATAAAAGCATCCAAAACAGGGGGCTTAGATTAACACAAAAAAATCAAGTTAAGGATTACTCTTTGGTCACAAAACTTGAAGACACCTCAAGAATTAAAGACAAAAATTTATAAGATATTCATTATCCACCATACAAAAAGTTTATATCCACCATTACAATCATGCATATAAACTATCCCCCCATGGGGTATGGTGGAACCAACAATGGCTAAACCAAAGACACGAAAGCTTACCTCGCAAGCTAACAATTCAATGTCAAGAGTTCAATTAGCAATCCACGGTTCACCAAACAGCAAAAGCACAGTTTGTTTATGCCAGAAATATCATTAATATACATAGTCTAGAGTTTCATTGCATAAGGACAACATTTTCTTTTTTGTTTAATGATTACCGGCTTCTCCCAAAGCCTCGATAATGGGTTGGTTATTTCATTTTTATCACTTGAACACCTCTAGGACAAGCCCATACTAATTCATTAAGGTCCTATATTGTATTTAAGGCTTCCCAACTTGTTAAAATTGATTTTAGGCTCATTCTGCCAAAAGTATTCGAATACTCCTCGATAAGTATTCAAATACTTTTGTTCCCACAAAAGTATCCCAATACTTTCACTAAAGTATCTCAATACCACTAAGTATCCCAATACTTTCACTGAAGTATTCCAATACCACTAAGTATCCCAATACTCCCCGATAAGTATTCGAATACCAAAAGTATCCCAATAATTTTACTAAGGTATACGAATACCAGCAAGTATCCCAATACTTTTACTAAAGTATTCGAATACTGCCATTCCCAGAAAAGTATCCCAATACTTTTCGATAAGTATTCGAATACCAGGCAAATATCCCAATACTTCACGAAAAGTATTCGAATACTTTTTAGACAGAATGCAGAAATTCGTGTAATTTCTGCATAAACTCAATTTTAAGGGTCCACATGCGATTGGGAGTCCAATAACTCCACAAACAGAACTTCATTAACATCTTATGAGCATAGATTATCATCCTTTAACTCAAAAGGTTCAAGTTTCCTCATTTAGTGGCTTAATCAAGCTAAAATCATGAAAATACAAAGGAGGTGATCATGGTATACCTCAAGGCTCAACAACTCAGAAAATGGAACACTCTTGAAGCTTCCAACACAGTCCCACAACACTGACTTTGAAAAGACACGAATTTGATCACCAAGCTTGGCCCTTTAAGCCAAAAGATGGCTTCTTGACAACACAAAAGGCAAGAACATGGCATCCACCACGATAGCTCACATACTCAGCCCCAAACAACACAACTCAGAAGCTTAAACTCAGCAACCAAGGGCTTTTCTCCCACCCAAGTTTCAACCACACTTAACCATGGTGTTTTAATGAAGAAGAAATGGAGAAAGGTGGTCACTTTGAGGGTTTTCTATGGAGAGATGGAGGTGACAAGGTGAGGGAACACCAACTCAGAAAATGGAGGCACGTAGGATCAGTTTTCAAGAATGAAAACTGACCTAGAAAGGTGTGCCCATAAGTATATATAGTCTCATTAACTCTAACCACACTGTATTAGCATTAATAGCTACGCATATCATTTTAATCCCAAACTTAGGATTCTGAACCTAGTAATCTTTCTAAGATTTATAATATTTTTATTTTATTTTTCTCAGTACTTTTTCGGTACGCGCTTTTACGTAGCCAGTATCAGTTCTGGCACCAGCTCTCATTATTTTGATCTGAAATTTGTTTTACTAGTCCTACATATTATTCTACGAATATTTCCACACTTATTATAATTTTTCGGGGTACTTCATCGGTACACACTTATACCGTAGAGCGGAATCGGTATCTGCATTTTTCGTCAGAAAGACGACTTTCAGCATTATTAATCACTTACCATAATCATTTAAGCTTCATCATAATTATTAGGGTCAATTATGAAATTATTTCCTAATCTCATATTTATTTAATTAATTTTCTAATTTAACGGTGCGGGTTCTTACAAGATCTATATCAGAATAAAAGGCATTAGTAGAACTAGAAGAAGAAGTGGAAGAACTAAAAAAATGAGGAGTTAAGGTTTTCAAATTTGCGTTTCTTATATGGATATTGTAACAACCCGCATAAATTAGGAAGTTTATTTAAAATGCAATTATGGACGTGAATGCATGTTAAGAAATCGAATTATAAGTATAAGTATGATAGGATTAATTTTAATTACTATATATATAAAAAATTCCTAGTTACTACTTATTAATTACATGAAATAATACTCATAAGGAAATTAAATTGGACCAAACTCCCTCTCCATGGGCGGCGGCCCAAGCATTCTTAAGGGAGAATTAAGTCAGCCCAAATCTCTCTTTAGTATTATCCCTAGAAATCTGCATACTTGCTTCTCATTGGTCATAAAGTAAACCACGTATCCCTCTCACTCCCTTCCTCCTAGGCGCTGTGGAAGGGCCAGAAAACTGAGTGTTATCCTTCTTTGTTGAGAAACCAACTCAGCCTTATCCTTTCCCTCTCATCTTCTTCACAAATCGCAAGTCCAAGGAGAGGAACCTAACCCTAAGCATACATTTCTCTTCTTCTCCCTCTTGGCGCGGCTGAACCCCAAGTTCAAGGAGGTAAAGTATCTTCATTGTCTTCTTGTTTCCATCTACTCCATTCGGTTTTGATGGAGTTCCCTTCCCTTGCATGCAGCTGAAAACTCGACTTCTTGGGCAGTAGGAGTGCGAGGATAT